CAAAAGATTTTTGACGTTGACGGCTTGTATGGTGATTGTATTTAGGATACATCCAAGTGGGAGTTTCCTATATGTCCACTTACAACCAGAAATTCAAGCAGTATCATGGGCAACTGAAGGAATTTTTACCCATGGATAAACCCAGGAAAAGACAAACTGAATAACAAAATATGCATTAATTTATTCCAGTTCCTGTCCATCATTTATAACAGGGGCAGCCCTGTTTCCAAGGCTTTAGATTTTTATACCACTTCTCCTCTGTGATCTCAAGGTATCATATACAGAAGTGTTCCCTTATTTTACCTCCACAACAAAACCCCAGTAGACCAAGAGAAAATAATGGCTCAAAGTCACTCAGTATGCTCTACTGCTGGGAGGAGACTTCAGCTTTAACCACTATATATTAGATAGTTCAGGGATTGTTTTTATGTTACTGTTCTTTTAAGAACCCTAAAGACAATTTAGGGAGGTTGTCTTTTTCCATGGAAAGTAATTTTTTATTACACACTGTAGCATGGTATCCATCTGTGAGAAAAGGGATGCTTAGCCTTAGTTCAGCCTCATATAGAAACATTCCTTGGCTATGCAAACCACGTTCATACAACCTCATTATATAGCACTGTAAACAACTGCAAGATTTTAAAATTAAAAATCAGAAAATATTTTAGTAAATAAATAGTACACAACATCACAGCAGAGGCTGATTGCCCAGATCTGCCCTCACCATCCTTCCTGTAAAGCAAAGACTTGGAGACTCACAGTCACCAAATCGGATTAATTCACTTCACACTCAGTCTTGGATAAATCAGTTCTTGATTGATTCTTGGCTAAGGTAGTTTCTTTCATCATACAGTACAACAGACTAAACCAGCTATTCAGCCCAACTGAAGAATAGGCAACAACAACAACAAAAGGAACTTTTCTTCATCCTTCTGTCCACATGGAGTAGTTTGATCAGAGCTTAACTGAGAAAGATGACCCACAAGAACAACCTTGTTCTGCCTGTGGATTGTTCACTACTTGGAATGAGCTGCGAATTAGCTCCTGGTTGAAGTCCACCATTGCACCTTTCACAAAGCTTAGGCTGTCCAAGTCCACAACCACTCTGGCACCGCCTTGCTCAAAAACTCTGGAAAAGGAGCACAGACAACATGTCATGGTATCTGCACAAATCCAAGATACATCTAGCTTTGTCTCCAGTTCATGTATAAACAAATCTTTCAGGAAGAGGCTGGAAATCTTTTACGAATCTTGTACGATCACCTAAATTTTACGATTTATGTTTTTGCAGTCTTTTTAATTTATTAATTGCTTTGAGTCTCTAGATGAGAGGGAAAACAAGATGTACATTCAGAAATAAATCTTTTATAATAATATAAAGGCATTTATAACCTGTCTTTTTTCAGAGAGCTCAAAACAACTTAGATGGAGTCTCCTCCACCCAATTTTATCCACACAGAACCACCCTGTGAAGTATGCTAGGCTGAGAGAGAATGATTGGCCCAAAGTCACCCAATGGTTCCATGGTTGGGTAGGGATTTGGCTCTGGGAGATCCAGGTTCAATACTCACACCATTATAACTAAATATCTGATGTTATAAACCTTGGAAATGATATTTATATGTCCAACAGTAGAAAACAGTAACATAGGAATTTTGGGGCAATGGAATTGTCATTCAGCCACCATCCTTCTTTGTCCACAGTTCTATAATTCTCTCATCTGTCACACACAGTGTAATCTATGCCCTCACCTGTCATCAGAATTGACAACTGTATCCAAGGAAAATTTGTACTGGAAACCTGAACAGCCACCTCCTTCTACCTGCAGCCTGAGAAACTCAGACTCTTCTGCAATCTCCAACAGCCTCTGTCAATACAGAAGGACAAACTCTTGTGAACAATGTTTATTACTCATTTGCATTTTACATTGAACTATTAATGGCTTCAAAGCAATGGTGAGCACAAAAACAGAGTCCAGGTACAGAATGGATAGTGAAATTACACCAATCAGACTGGCAGCATATTTTTTTTGCCACACGTGCTGTGTGCCTTATCCAGTAAGTGAAAGTATACTGTAATAACAAATCTCAGGATCAACTTGGCTAATCCTTTGTTGGCTCTAACTAAAAACAAGCCTAACTTTTCCCTCTGTTTTATCAGCTGAATCAAACCCTTACGGTAGTTAAAGCAATCAGGACAAGGTGAATGAGGATTATTGTAGATTATTCACATATGTCAAGGCACTTTGAGAGAACACACCAAAAGAAGTTTACAGCTTATATTTATACCGTGCAATAAACATCTACAGTGGTACCTCAGTTCACGAACGTAATTCGTTCCACGACTCTGATCGCGAACCAAATTGGTCATGAACTGAACCAAATTTCCCCATAAGGTTCAATGTAAATAAGGTTAATCCGTTCTGACCTCTACGAACGTGGTCGCCAACCGATTTTGGTCGCCAACCGAATCAAATTTTCCCATAAGGTTCAATGTAAATAAGGTTAATCCGTTCTGACCTCTACGAACGTGGTCGCCAACCGATTTTGGTCGCCAACCGAATCAAATTTTCCCATAAGGTTCAATGTAAATAAGGTTAATCCGTTCTGACCTCTACGAACGTGGTCGCCAACCGATTTTGGTCGCCAACCGAATCAAATTTTCCCATAAGGTTCAATGTAAATAAGGTTAATCCGTTCTGAACCATATGTATTTTTTTTTTTAACCACAAAAATATGAAACAAAGTACAGTACACTACAGTATGAACAGAGAAAACTAACCTTGCTTGAGGCGACTTCTGGCATGGAGGACAGGAAGGTGGGTGGGGAGGTGGTTATTGTTTGGAGGGAGAGTCCCCCTCCATAAAGACATCGGGGAGATCTCCTTCAGGGGTTTCCTCTCTTCTTTGTCTCTTAGCTGCAGGCTCAGTTTTGGCAAAAAATCTGTCTAATGTCACTTGTTTTTTCCTGTGCTGCATAACCCTCCGGAAATGAGGGTTATTGTTCATCAGATTCAACACTCTGTTCGTTACAGTTATGTTGGGGTGGTGCTTCTCAAAGAAATCCTGGCACTCATT